GCCGGAGACCCAGAGGCGCCCTGAGCGTCCCTGCCCGCCGCCTGGCGGGCCCGCCCAGGGTCCCTCAGCGACGGGCAAAACGCGATGTCTCTTAGGGCAGCTTCCGGCCGTTTCAGTCCCCTACAACTTTTTCTTTGCCATTCACCTTGGTGAGTGCAAGCAGGCTTGCTTTTCACCGACCAAAACATATTCGTTTGTCTCAGGACTTGTGGGCTAGATAGAGCCAGGGCCTTGGAAGGATCCCCGTGAAGCCGGCTGTCAGTCCCTAGTTACTATTGGATATGTCCTTGCCATGCTAGTTTATTTACAAGATTGGTCAACCTGGCCACGTCCGAAATTTCAGTGGCACAACGGTTTTTCATTGTGTGGTATTGGGGAACCACATTTATTAAATTTACCTATTTTCAGATTGATTCAAACTGTCAGCGTTTCCTTCTTGGGTCACATGCTTCTACTATAAATCAGGCCTCCGCAGAAAACCCTGCTGTGGAAATGGTTATGTTCTTTTCCTGCGCTCCCCAATTCATTAACAAAATTACCAATTTCTATGGTCATTGTTTACTTTAGGAAAATAAGAGAAATTGAATTAACTGAATTGTTTTGTGAAAGACCAATTCTGAATTGAACTACTATTTTTTTCTTCTATTTTTTGGTGTTGGGAATTGAACCCAGAACCTCACCAATGACTGACCACTGAACTACATTCCTGCTCCAAATTATTTTAAGGTTGCTCTTTAAAATCTCTAATACATTGACCTTAATTTTATAATAAAACCAGGGTTTATACAAAATCATAGTTAAAATGTTAATATTTGCTGGACTTACTGCCTTTCAAAAATCCTTTAAAGTACTAGTCAGTCTGCTTATCAGAATTAAAATATATGGCAGAATGCAATACATACTTTTAAAATAAGAGACTTTTGATAGCAAACCAGTCTGTAAAAGTAGGCAATCATATGTTAGTCTACCAACAGGGGGGCTTTGGAGTTAAATAGAAAATCATTTCATGTGTATTTCAAAATGAATGTTACCTTTTGTCTGCTGTTTGCTAAGGTGCTTTCCTCCAAGGACTTGACACGTGTTTCTGGAAACCTTAGCAACAAGGTCAACAACACAAGCAAGTCTAAGAATAGGAATAAGGTTATGTTATTTAATTAAAGTTAGAATTTGTCAAAAGGATATGAGCAAGGCAATAAAATAAAGTTTACAGTAATCTCTAGTGGTTAAGGTTTCTGTTATGTGGCTTACAGAAATAAAAATTGGCATAAAGGCAGTGAGATAGAAGATAAACCAAAACAGAAATGCTGGATAGAGATGAAAGGAAGTACAATCCAAAACATCATCTCCTTTCAATCCTGTATGAACTCAAAGTACCCTTTCCATAAACCACCTCATGGGTCACTGTAGCAGTCCTTTGAGACAGTGAGGGTTCACTTGGAATCATACTTTTAGGTGACTAGGGCTCAAGCTAACTCCTAGCTGTGATTCAGGCCAATCTTCTACCCACCCAACTCTCCTCAGAACAGCATCTCTTCCAGGTAGGTAAACATCCAGCCGCAGCTTTGAATTGCTCAGTGGCAGGAGCTATTGCTGAACAGTTTTGTTAATATTATGTTGTTGTTATTTTTGTTATTTAATACTAAGCTGAGTTTATGTCTATATAATGTCCACCTAAATTTTAAGTTCTTCTCTAGTAGCACCCTGGGTATCAAAATGTCCTTTCCAAATGATGTAACTGACCAAAATAGTCTGGGAACAAAACAAGTTTCCTCTCTACAGTTCCTACTGTGGAAACCATGCTCTTTTCTCCTTCCTTTACTTTCCAAAAAGTAAGATAGAAAGGGCTGGGGATTTATCTCAGTGGTGCCGCTGCCTGCCTCACAAGTACAGGGTCCTGAGTTCAATCCCTGGTACAAAAAAAAAAAAAAAAAAAAAATCAGCCCCTTTAAAATAAAACCATTAAATTACTGTCCATAATTAACCATTTGACTTTGTCCCAGCTTGTATTTAACAAGCCCTTGGAACCTGGAATAAGAATCTAATTTGAAGCAGCCATTTGATTTCCTCAGTAAAACTGCATTCGATGATTTGGGCTGTTTATGAGCTCTAAATCAGATGTATTTCTGTGGAATGAAAGACAATCATTTTTCCAGCAGTCCTTGCTCATACACACAAAGGATGCATAAGAGTCTTCAGATAATAAGGTTCTCTTGCTCAATTACATTTTTGATAGACATTACCATTAAGGAGATTCAGTAGTCATAGAGTAACATAAATATAATTTTTTTAGGTAATGCTGTTGTGAGCTACAACTTCAAATATCACCTGACTGTTCCCATCAACAAAAGTATCCCGTTAATTTCTGAATTTTTCAAAATGAGCAATAGTAAACTAATTCCCAAGCTCTCCATTCAATCTCCTGTCCATCATAACAACTTAAATGTTCAGTCCTCAGATCGACCTTTTAAGAAAGACTTAAATCTGATTTCAAAAGACTCCTTGGAGTCTGACTCAGAAAGCCTCACTCATGAGAATAAGTCCCAGTCTGAACTTGACCAAATCCAGGACAAAGATATAGAGCCGGACAGCTTAGAGGAAAGCCCTGCACAGGAAAGCCTGAGTGAAACAGAAGGGGAAACAGAGAAAACAGCAGCTCAGATGGCCCGGGAGGAAGACTACTCTGCTCAGGACAATGATGGGAGTAACAGGTAAGGAATTGGCTTGTATAAGATGGTAATGTTAAATAATTAATGGCATCATTCCAAATGACAGTTAAAGACAGGCTTTTCATAAGTGCTATGTGATATGTGTGAGATAGTTCTCCGAAAAGCTAAAGACAGTGACTCCTTGCTTTTTGTCACTTTTATTTCTTTTTTAATTGAAAAACACAATAGACATTAATAATGGCATTTGCATTTCTTATACTCCTTATTTCCTGTCTGTATTTCAAGGGTCTCCATTGCTATCACCTTACCTTGGAGAAACCCCAGAAAGCCTGGTATAGAAAAGTACACAACTCGAAATCTGATGGTCTCAGTTTGGCCCAAGCACTGCTGTTTAGTGTAAAACTTGGACTAAGTCACTTAACTTTGTGGATCACTTTTTCTCCTCTGTTAAATGACCTACTGATCTCACAGGATTGCTGTGAACATCATTAAAATACAAATAATTGGGATTATGCTACCTGTCCCCTTCCTTTGGTTCTAGTAGAAGTCTGCCCCCCAGGGCCTCTTATGAGACTGCAGATTCAATCTAATAATCAGTATTTATGGAACTTAACTTTATGCTGTGAGCTACTAAAAAGTAGGGGAATATAAAATAATGTAGCAGTATTAATGAGGCATTACATGATATGAGAGAGTACAGAAGTTAAAAGCTATTAATGAGGGAGGAGTTTTAGTGTTACATGTTAATGAGGCATTACATGATATGAGAGAGTACAGAAGAAGTTAAAAGCTATAAATGAGAAAGGAGTTTTAGTGTGGGAGAGAAATGCATAGGATATGAGCAGACTACTTGGCTTCAAACACTGGCTCTGCTACTTACTAGCGGTATGACTTTGGCTCACTTTCTTTATCAATAAAATAGTATTATAATAATGTTACCTTACAGAGTTATGTCCTAAAGGACAGTGACTAACTCTTTACATATTATATATATTCCAAATTTAGAGGTTGAATATGTCAAGGAGTATTCATTGAAGGGCCCAGAATTTAGACAAGGTTTTGAAGACAACAGAACAGAATTAGGTTGACGTGTTCGTGACACATTTAGGAGGCCAGCTAAACTGGAGAGGCTTTGTTCTTAGTGTAGGGAAAATCGAGTTAGGGCCTGATTAAAGGCGCCTTGAAAATGTGCTTTTGGTACAGAAGACAAATTTATAGGTTATTGAATGTCATCACACTGTACCACAGAACTCAGAGAACCTGTCCTAGGGACACAGTCACAGCAAGGACTCTTGTAGGAGCTAGCACTAAAACCCAGTCCTGAGTCTTGCTCTTCTTTCTTCTCTTTCTTCCTTTCACCAGGAACACAAAATTAAATGAAATCATTTGTTCCTTAGGGGAATCTCAAGGTTCAGTAAAAGCATAAGTACTGTCACTGAGGTGCTGAGGCCAGAAGAGGGTTGCAGGATGGCTTCAACAAGATAGGCACCCTTAATTGGAATGGGTTGGGTCAACCAGGAAGAGAAAATCAGATTTTTGGAGAAGGCAGCAAAATGAAGCAATGTTTAAGGAAGTTATTTTGCAAGTGGGAGCATTTTGAACTACAGAGTAAACAGTGGGCCAAAAGATTTCCAGATGGTAATGATTGGAGCAACATAATACTGCTTTCTGAAGGCCTATCTGTAGTATTCAAGTTTTTTACTGTAATCCTGTAGGGAAGGTGTTACTTTCTCCATTTTACACTTAGAGAAACTGAGGTTAACTGAGATGAAGTACAGTAACTTTTCTCAGGTCATCAGGCTTTGAGGGGATGTTTGTTGTTTTGTTATTAGTACAACCTGTGTGTGTGTGTGTGTGTGTGTGTGTGTGTGTGGTGCTGGAGACAGAACCCAGGGCCTTGTGCATGCTAGGCAAGCACTACACCATGGAGTCATCCTCAGCTTGACTTGTTTAATTATGAAAGAAATCTGCAGAACAGTACAGGGTAAGACACAATATAACCATCATAGCTGTATTTGTTTTGGTTTTGGTTTGGTTTGGGTTTTTTTGTGGTACTGGAGATTGAACCCAAGGTCTTCATATGGAACTACATAGCCAGCCCCTTTTAATTTATTATTTTGAAGCAGGACTTCACTAAATTGTTAAGTTGCCCAGGCTGGGCTTGAACCTGCAATCCTTCTCCCTTAGCCTCCTAGATTGCTAGGATTACAGGCACGTGCCACATGTCTGGCTTGCTTTCTTTCTTTCTTTCTTTCTTTTCTTTCCTTCCTTTCCCTTTCTTTCTTTCTTTCTTTCTTTCTTTCTTTCTTTCTTTCTTTCTTTCTTTTTTTCTTTTGTACTGGGGATCAAACTCAGAACCTTGTGCTTGCAAGGCAGGCAGCGACACCACTGAGCTCAATCCCCAGCCCCTGTTTCAAAAAGTCAAAAAGTCGTAAAATATTGCAGATATAGTTTTTGTACCCCTTCTTGAATCCATTCCCCTATTTTCCTCTTTGAAATTAACCAAAACTACAGTACACTTATATGGTTTTACATCCTTGTTATCAATCTTTTATTTCTTTCACAATTAATACATGATTAGTGGAGATTCCTATTTTGTTCAGTCAACATTATGCTTTTGACATTTTACCATTGTATTTTTACATTACAGCATGAATTAAGGTCAGTCATTCTTGACTTATGTATAAGTTCCATTATGTTAACATACAGTATCCTGAATATTTAGATTGTTTCCAGTTCTTCTTATTTCACACAGTGCTGGGGACACATGCTTGTATGTCTCTCTGGGTTCATGTGCAAGAATTTCTTTAAGGTTAATGTGTCTAGAAATGGAACTGCTAGATAAGGGAAGTGTAAACATCTTCAACTAACCTACAATGCATTTGAGTTCCCAGTCATTACAATTATATCTCTAACTTTTGCCACTCTGGCAGGTTATAAAATCCTACCTTTTCATAGAATTAATCACATTTGCCTAATGACTTGTGAATGTGTTTTTAGCCAAAGGAGATCTAACAAAATATCATGAGTATGGAGTATGTTTCTGTATTTTTAATTGTAGATTTATCTACTGTTATATAGTATCCCAGTATCTAGAGATGCAATGATGTAATTATTTAGTCACTCCTGGATGGACACTGGGATATTCCCAATTGTTGGCATTTTAAATAATGCTTTAACTGAAATATATATGAAAGAATTGACAGAGTTTATAGGATGCTTATGGTGAACCCATTGCTCTGCTGAAGGCTTTATGGTATAATCTCATTTAATTCTTATCACAATTCCATGGGTGGATACAGTTAATGATTCCACCAAGAAGGTTGCAGATAAGGCCTCTAGGGATTGTATTTTAATCATTGCAACAAGTGAGTACTGGAAAAGAAAGCTTGGGCAATCTGACTTTTGCTCTAAACCATATTTTCATCCTGGCTCTAATCTAAAAGATTCATAGTCTCCTTCATCATAAATGAGTACCTTTGTCTGTATTTTTAAGATGAAAAAACAATACAGGAATCCAATAAGTGACCTCATTTCCTCAATTTTTTAGCTTTTCTTCCTTTTGTTCAGTTCTGAGAGATCTGATTTGACCCTGTTCTTTACCTAAGGGCAATTTACTACTTAATGTAGTTCAAGTAATAATACTTCTAAAAATCAAAATTATAGATTGATTTTTGTTCTTCTGATTCAGAGATCTTTAATACTATTTTCCTCAGATTTACTTGCCTTGGGTGTTGAATAATAGACTATAAAACATGGGGCAGGGTTAGAATGGGTTATAACCCTAGCAATTGTTAGTATGTGCTGCTTTCCTCATTGAACACTGAAGGATAAGGTTTATACTGCAGAAGTGAAGATTTAGCCAAATAGATGCCTAAAAATGTTTACTCAGGTGTGGTTTAGTTACTAGCTCCTTTCTCTGCTTCACATAAGTTTTATAAACTTTTCCCATGTATATTATTGCTCAGATCTGAGAAGTGGTGAGCCATGATATGGACAAATAAATTGATCTCAGTCTCTCATTATGAATTTCAAGGAGATTTTCATTTCTATGAGGCAGATAGCATTCTGGGAATTGTAGTTCAAAAGCTTAGTCAAAGCATTGCTTTAAATCAAGGCAAATCTTTCTTGTTGCTTTTATAAGCAATAATTTTAAAAGCTGCCTGACAAGTCACTTAGCTTGACTCTTGTGTTTTGATGTTACTAGACCAACCTCAAAGCAATTACTTCCTTGTGCTTCACTAAAGTCAAGCCATAGTTCCGTGTATATGGATTAGAGAAAACCTTTTATTTTGCAGAAATTGAAGCAGCGTTGACTGTAGTCAAGAGTGGAGAGAGGATCTTCATATGGCAGTCCTTAAACCCCCTCCCTAATAAGCCACACTCGTCTTTCATGAAGAAAGAGATCATTGTAATGCCTAGGGCAATTAGAAATAACCCTCTTCAGTCCCGAAGCCTCTGAAGACACTTTCTTAACTTTTTTTAAATCAGAAAATAGCAATTCGATGCCCTGTATATGTGTTCAATAAGGTCTTATTTACCGGAATGCTTATATAATTACTACCGTTTATAGAACTCTTTGCTTTAGTGTCACATTTATCCATACAAGAGCCTCTTAGATATACATTTACTTACTTACTTTTTTAAAAAGAGTGGTAGGGATTGAACCCAGGGCTTTGTGCATGCAACATACACCCTCTACCACTGATCATTTTACTACCCCAGGCCCAAGGCATTGTTGTCCCCATTTTTCAGATAGGGCTCCAAAATTTGTGTAGGTGCATGTAATTGCCAAATGTCAGAGCCAGACATTGAATTGAACTCTCTAATTCCAAAACTTGAGCCTCAAATTATTAGTATTTAAAAAGGTAATCATGGATTAATCCAATAAAGGGGTCCATTTTATTACCTAGTAAAAATTAAAGAGAACAATACCAGCATGGACTAAACTGAGGCCAAAATGACTGTGTGTGTATAATTATAATTTTTAAAAATTTAAAGAGTAAGCACAAGATGATTGCAATTTACCCTGGCCAGTGAGG